TGCAGTCAAACAATAACTCGTCGCGGGGACATCGCCTCGGTATACAAATCTGCTTTTGTCGTCACGCGCGAGCCATTCGAGACCAAACGACAATTGCATTGAAAGGCAAAAGCCGTTCACTCGGAGACTGCAATCCAACTTGAACTTGATTGAATTTCTTCTAATTGTTCGTTTCTATGTACTAACAATTTAGTCAGCGATTGAAACATTATGAAAACGAATGCAGACTTGATTTAATAGTTAAATCAAGAGCAAGTGTAAATAGTAAGAATTATGTAAACATTTTTATATTCATGCTCAAGATCTGATGTTTACTAGAAGCAAATTAATCTTTGATTATGACAATAAAAAAATTGTGGTAAGGAGTAGATATTTTTTTACAGTGTCATAGTTTCTGTCGCTCTCATCTTTTTCGTGAAAATAAATATTTTGTTTTCACATGAATCTTTTTCATGAGTTTCAAAAGAAAAGTTTGTCAATATTTGTGCATTTGTCTGTGCACGTTCATCGGAGTTTGTTGATATATATAGAAACAAAAAGAAATAGACATCAAATAATTTGGTCGAATTGACACATTTTCTGTAGATAATTGGCGAAAATTCATGTTCAATCTATCGTAGACGAATTTTTTGCCACATGAATGTTAAACTCGTGCACATATAATGGATTTCGACGATTTATTGTACTATTACATGCTCGTTATAATCATAATCTGCCGTTTGAAGTGGATTGTAGTTATTATATAGTGAATGCTTCTTTAAAAATTCTGAATTATTTTCGTCTTTGGTGTTCGTCAAAAAAGAATAGTTTTCGAACAACATTACAGGGATTGGATTATTCGTTTGATAAATTTATTTTTGTCATACGTCGTGATTTCTTGTAGTTGCTTCCTCGAATATTCTTGATGTGATTGCAAATAAATAATTGTAAAAACAATGTTCATATTCACTTAAATTTTCAAGGCAAACGCTGAAAATGCATCTAACTTATTGCACCTGATCAAGCTGTGTTCGCTGCATTCGGTAACATTAATGCAAATCTTTACTGGCACAACTTCACTGAAAGGTCGTATCTATTTCAATAATATTAGCAAGCGAGACACTTGGTAAAGTTACGTAAATATAATATTAGATGAAATGTCGTCAAAGACCATTCGAGGACAACGAAGATTAGATGTGAAATTTTGCTTGTCAAATAACAGCCAAGCAATCACCAAACATTTGTCGCATCAAAAAGTTAGTGGAAAATCAACAGTTTGAATAACGATCAAATTCATACATTATCGTACAAATGCTCTATCTTAGTTAATACATTTCTTTGCATGCTGATATATATACCAGCCATTATCTGTGAAAAATTAAGGGGAGCATATAGTATAGCTGGAAAAACCTTTTTATTCACAGACGGATCATTTTGAAACTTGGTACACATATGTAAAATAAAATTATAAGACCTTTTTGTTCACGCAATTTCTTGGGAAAAATGGAAGAAAACGTAAAAATCATAGAAAACGGCAAAAAGGGGGCACTATTAAATCTATCTCCTCTTGCAATTAACGTGCTACAACGCCAAGGGCATGTAATTTGATTCGTAAAGACCATATCTAGAGATCATCCGGTCATTTTCCAAAATTTTAAAATTTTTTTCATTTTTATCTTCGATTTTTCAATTTTTGCCTCAACACCCCTCTAATAAGTAATAGAAAAAATCAGAAAAAATGACCGGATGACCTTTAGAGCTGGTTTTTACGAATCAAATGGTGTCTTTGGTGTCTCTCTCAATACTGTAGGTTGAAAATCACAGGAGGAGATAGATTTCTAAGACTAAAATTTAAATTTTTCAAGAAAGCAAGAAAACTGAAATTTGTGATCCTTGAAAGTGTGGGTTTTACTTGCGCTTCCATGGCTGTCGCGAACGAACAAATGAACGCACAAACATGACTTTGAGCTCTTTAAATGCGCCAGACTTGGACCTTTAAAATGAACCTAAAACCTGAAAAACCGAAATTTTCGATTTTTGTTGTACATGCTCCTCGAGTCATGCGATTTGAACCATGTTATGGCAGCTCTTTTTGAGCTTCAACTGATAGAAACTGGGTGAATTTCAATTACTTTTTCAGTTATGGAAATAAAATAATTCGAATGGGGCTAATTCGGTCCTATAAGGTGGATGCCGAATGATTTACCATTGAAATTCGCATAGCACCAGCCCCTGTCAGCCGAGCGTTACGTGAGAGTGAGTGCGCATGCACCGATGCTGCTTCCAAGGAGCTTTCGGTGATTTTCTTCGAAAATTTCATCAAAATCTCTTCATTAAAAATAGCCGTAATATTTTTCTTGATCTCGAGGAAGTCAACTAACAAGATCCTCCCTGAATCCTATAAAAACCTTCCCTCTAAGACGAACGAAGACGCACTGATTTTTCCTTGACGGTCCCATGCACTTTCTCCCCTGAACAGCCTCTGCTTCGATCGAGTTTCGCCCTAGGGATCGTACTGGTAGAGCCATGTTTCATCCTCGGACACAATCCGCGTATGAAAAAGTTCAGGATTCTTAACCCTCTTTTTCAAACTTTCCATGGAAAGATCTGCCCTATATTCCTGCTGATCTGGGCGCAACAGCCTGGTAACCCATTGAGAAGAGGGCTTGCTCAGTCCCAAACTGCTCAACAGAATTGTATGTATGGAACTCATGGAGATGTTGAGTGTCTCTGCTAATGATTCGGTGGTTATTCGCCTATCTTTTTCAACGAGATCACAAACAGCGTCAATGTTTTCCACACAAACTGATGTGCGTGGCCTGCCTCTGCAAGGGTTATCTTTGGTCTCATTTCTTTTGCTTCCGGAACGACTAATCCATTTGTAGGTTGATTAGTTTTCGAGGCACTGTCACCATAAACTTATTCCAGAGAGTCAATGATTTGGCTGTTCTTTCACCCAAGCTTCACCAATAATTTGATGCTTGACCAGGACTCGATTTTTGCGGATGCCATGTTGCTTGAACGGTTGTTGGCGTTTAATAATTATTAAACATATAATTATAAAACATATATTAATAATTATAAAGCAGCGCCCACGCGTTTGCCGTATTAATTTCCGAGATCATGTGAGAACACGTTATCAAACAATGAAATATGATCGTTTTGGTGCATTTGCATCATATTCTTTTCATAGAATTTTCAGTTATTTCCATTTCCCGCGAATGGTTTTAAGCACCCTCGTACATATTATTGTTTATATTAATTAAGAAGATATATACATACTCGTACATATATTAAGAAATTGTTTTAACGTGCGTCATAAATCTGCTTCCATAGTGAACTTAATCTCTTAATAAAACTTCCAAGAATCTGGGGCGATGTGAATATATATTCCCTATTCTCCGTGTAAGGAAAACCCCAGCAAAACTTCATCTTAATGAACAACATCGGCTGATCCCTTCAACGACTTCTTCAACTGAACCTCGTCTCTGGAAGGTGCGCAGCTCAAGCGACGCTTTCCGTCTCTCCTTTTTTCCAGTTGAATCAAAGGACAAACTTCCAATTAAACGGAGAGCCTTACAAACACATTCAAATTCTCAGAGTCCTTTTTACCAAATGAACCAAGCGAGATAGTCAATTCAGATTGCAAATCTGTCATCACATCGGGCGCAATACGAACATACCTTGGAAAATTGTGGATCTATGTGCAATAATGAGAGAATCCCTGCAACAAATTATTTTTACGTAGCAATACACAATATTTACGTAATTTGGTGCAACTTTATTTAATATTCCCTGCTAAGTAAATTACTTGGCTAAAATACTCATCGCAAAACCCAAATGTTTCTGGCTATATTCAAAACAAAAATTTTGCCAGAGGGCAACATAACTTATTAGGACTTGCCCCAGCAACGGCAAGATTGAATTCTTTCGTATGCCTCTAGCAAAAATTAACTGACATAACGATACGTTTTCAAAATTTTCAGTTTTGCTTTTCGCATCGGGCGGTTATTGCCATGCTTCGGTGTGTCCAAAGAACACTTGTAACAATAATATAAATTGGATAACCTTTTAGAAGTCAACTGGCAAACTCAAACATGCAAATTTGACACGCGCCGAGCCAGGAATTATTTTGACATGGACATGCATCGATAACAAACAAACACTAACCTAACTATGCTGTGCCTAAGCAGTTGCCGCCACAACTCTCACAGCTGAACTATCGACAGCAACATTGTACCAACAATTCATTATTCGTTCGCGAGTTAACAAGCAAGTTAGGCCTTTCCCCTTTTTAGCGCATTTTCTCATTTATGGAAAAAATGCACTATTGTGCTCGCCAAGTCCGTCCGTCCGTCCGTGACCTTAAGTTTTCGTCGACGAGAAAATGCGCGCTGTCACTCACTGCAGAGAGTACCGAGTTATATTTATTTTTTTTTAATTTCGGGTAACGGAGTGATATTGAATGTTGCATAGTAACCGACATAAAGCGCCGCCAGTCGCGGGCACCAACGGAGACTACGGAGCTTCAGGCAGTTGGTAGCGACGGCAAAGAGTTTCTGCCCACAAGCAGTAATATTGCGGTACATAGACAGGAGGCGAAGCTGAATACCTATTTTGGATTGACGTAATCAAGTCGATTAGAAACTGATATTCTTCAGGGCTTTCATCCTCTGAAAATTTACGGAAGCCTTACTCAAGACTTGTTCTCTAGATTGGTTTGCGATTGGGCCCAGAAATTAAAAATATCACGTTCTTCTTAAAAAATGAGACGTATTTAGCGATAAGATGAATGGTCTATACTCTATAGAATTAGTGAAATGGATAATCTTTTCCAGGAGTCACTTTCAAGTTCATGGTAATGGCATCAAATTCTAAAAGGGGGCGAATATCATCCACATACAGCAATTTTCCAGGCTTCATATATGAAAACGTCAACACGAGAAAAAATGAAGTCAACATGAGAAAAAATGAAGTCAACACGAGAAAAAAATTCCAAGTCAGGACGGAAGAAGAACAGCTTTCTGATGGGATATTTATTGAGCTGCGCAGCGCATCTTTGGAATAAGAAACGGACTGAGACCCAACTTAAAAAAGAGGGCAAAATTAATTGACTAGTGTTTAAATAATAATGAATTGGTTTACGACGAAACCATTAAAATAAATAGAAATTCTTAGATCTTATTTCGAATGGAACAAGTTTGGAGACCTATTGTACAACGAGTTCAGGTCCGAGACCAAACTTACATGGAATGACTATATGCATGCGTGAGACTTAACGACTCGGAAGTATCTAAATATTGAAATTTCGACAATTTGATCGCTAAAAATCAAGAAAAAACTTCAAATTCCGCTTGCACGATAGGAAACGAGTTTAAAAAGCATTCTTCATAAAAGCCTCAAGTGCACACGAATTGCTAATTTAATTTCTTCAGAAAGAAATGTAGTTTATTCTAGGTCAGTAAAGGCCGTCTTATATACGCCTCTTCTTTCCTGACAAATTGACTTGGTTGTTACAAGTTCTACTGAATATAGTACAGCAAAGGCGTAGAATACAAGCATGGCTCTAGGAGCTCAAGTTTAAGGAACGTTGCTAGAATTTGCTTCGCGTAGCCAACTTCAGACATTTCTTGTCTCAGTTCTTCAATATGAATATACCTGTAATATTATTTAAAATCACATGATCGTAAGTTGAGTAAATACACGAGACCGAAAACATGTTACATGATGCACGGGCAAATACGGTACTTAAAGCTGGAAAATAAACTAAAAATTATTAATTCCGAGAGTTCAATAGTAATTTTACGAAGAAAAAACCTATTCGCATCTCAGGTTACTCGATTTCACCTATGAATTTCAAAATTTGTTACTCGAAGCTAACGACACACATCATTTTTCATTACGTCGACCAAGAGAAACACTGAAGTTCCGTAGAATTTAGTGTCAGTGATGGCTCGTTCGGTGCAGGCAATGGCCCGTAGACCGACAGAACGTGGCAGTAGAAGACACAAAAAAATTATCCTAGATCGTTTAGGCGTGCTCGGCCTCCTCCATCTCACCCTCTTCTTCGAACTCTCCCTCATCCTCGGCGGTTGCCTCCTGGTATTGCTGATACTCAGACACCAAGTCGTTCATGTTAGACTCGGCCTCGGTGAACTCCATTTCGTCCATGCCCTCGCCAGTATACCAGTGCAAGAAAGCCTTGCGCCTGAACATCGCTGTGAACTGTTCCGACACTCGCTTGAACAGCTCCTGGATAGCCGTGGAGTTACCGATGAAAGTGGCAGCCATCTTGAGACCGCGAGGAGGAATGTCACACACAGCAGTTTTGACGTTATTTGGGATCCATTCAACAAAGTAAGAGGAGTTCTTGTTCTGGATAGTGTACATCTGGTCATCTACTTCCCTCATGGACATACGGCCTCGGAAGATGGCAGCAACTGTCAGGTATCGTCCATGGCGCGGGTCACAGGCAGCCATCATGTTCTTTGCGTCGAACATTTGTTGTGTCAACTCAGACACGGTGAGTGCGCGGTATTGCTGCGACCCACGAGCTGTCAGAGGTGCGAACCCAGGCATGAAGAAATGCAGACGCGGGAAAGGCACCATGTTGACCGCGAGCTTACGGAGATCTGCGTTCAGTTGACCTGGGAACCTGAGGCAAGTTGTGACACCTGACATGGTTAGTGAGACGAGGTGATTAAGATCTCCGTAAGTGGGGTTCTGCAGCTTCAATGTACGGAAGCAAATATCGTAGAGCGCTTCGTTATCAATGCAGAAGGTTTCATCTGTGTTCTCCACAAGCTGGTGAATAGACAGAGTCGCGTTGTATGGCTCAACGACAGTGTCGGAAACTTTAGGAGAAGGCACAACGGAGAACGTGTTCATAATTCGATCGGGGAATTCTTCACGGATTTTCGAGACGATAAGAGTACCCATGCCGGAGCCAGTGCCGCCACCGAGGGAGTGTGTGAGCTGGAAGCCCTGCAGACAGTCGCATTTCTCAGACTCCTTCCGCACGACATCGAGGACAGAGTCGACCAGCTCAGCGCCTTCAGTGTAGTGGCCCTTGGCCCAGTTGTTGCCTGCGCCGCTCTGACCTGCACAAGGAGACGTCAGTTGTAACATATACCAATGATAATTATATTCAATTATATTATTATAATTATCACATTGTCAATGTGGTTGCAGCATTGACGTCAGTTGTAACATATAAGAATGATAATTATATTCAATTATATTATTATAATTATCACATTATCGTCAATGTGGTTGCCGCATTGACGTCAGTTGTAACATATACGAATGATAATTATAATCAAGAGTATCGTTATCTTAAATTAGTCTCTCGTTTACGGTAACACATATATCACATTATTGTCAATGCCGCATTGTTGATAATTATCCTAAATCAGAGGATAAATAATTCAGGAATGGCAATGGTGAGCCTAACAACGATTAACACGTTGACTACGATTGCTTCATATTGTACTATTATTTAATTTTTTGAACTGTTTTTAAGCAGGGTTGCCAGACGGTCATTTTTTCCGGACAAATTCCGTGATTTAGTTTTTCTCAATTGCGTTGGCCGGCTGAAATTTATGATAGGGGTACTTCCTAATTAAATTTTAAATACTGCAAAAAGAAAATTAATGGAATTTTTATAGCAGAAGCTACAAATAAACTAGTATATATTGAGTTATCGGCCTTTTTTTGGCCTCTTTTGTTCTCGGATTTGGCCGATTTTAGGCAACCTTAATTATGTATCACTACGTCCTGGAGAAATACATTTCGTGGTACGCATTTGTACCACTTCGTAGCCAACGTGTTAAAAGTGATGAGCAACCTAAGGCCCTGAATAGATCACAACACTAGACTATTTCAAAGTCGATATTCATCGCATTCCATAAAGTCTTTTTCACAATTGATGTACATACAATTATAGATACACAGATAATGCTGTTTAAATAATTTTCAAGTGACTTGACGTTGAACAAAACTGATATATTTTAACCTGTTCATAGACATTTTTTCTACTCAGGACTGAAAATGAAGAGAGATGAAAACCGTTTGTGAATCAATAACTAAGCATTGAAACTACAATGATATTTAAAACCATAAGGAGATTCTCAGAATAAGATTCAAACGTGATCAATTTTCTCAGAAAACAAGAAATTCCGGTTGACTAAAACCAAATCGTGTTCATTTAATGATCATATCAAATTGCGACTATAAAACCGAGATTCAACAGTTTAATGTCACAATTTTGTTATTTAACATTTTGTGTTATTGTGTTAACACAATATTGTGTTGTTCTCAATCACCCGACGAGTGCGTGCGCGTGTACTCAATATACGAGAGTGAGTACCGAGCTACGTACATCGTTCACCTCATTGATAACTAAAAGCCAGTTTAATGCTAACCACTATCTTGGTAAATCCACTTTTGAAAATATTTCTCAAAATGAATTCAGAATACTTTCAATTAGATTTTTTTTCTCATTATAAGACAGTCGACAATTCATAGAAGGGGAAGCTCTCATTCTGCAATACTATCTAATTTTTTCTAATTTTATGACCATTATTAACCTAAATAAATCAACTTTGGAATGTGTTGAATAGCCACTTGTGAAGAAGTTATTAATCTCTTTTAAACAGAAATTAAGCCTACTCACCAGGCCTATAGATATGAATCGTATTTTGAAAATATTTCTCAAAATGAATTCAGAATACTTTCAATTAGATTTTTTTCTCATTATAAGACAGTCGACAATTCATAGAAGGGGAAGCTCTCATGCTGCAAAACTATCTAATTTTTCTAATTTAATGACCATTATTAACCAGAATAAATCAACTTTGGAACGTTTAGAATAGCCACTTGTAAAGAAGTTATTAATCTCTTTTAAAAAGAAATTAAGCCTACTCACCAGGCCTATAGATATGAATCGTATTTACGACGGGAATATATAGAGAAATGACGGATGAGGCCTGCAGGTACGAATTGCATTGCAGACGAATATGCATTGCGTCAAGGCACGAATAGCAGTGGAGAATATTTTCCAGGTATGAATAGCATAGGTGATAGTGACTAGGTACGAATAGCAAAAGAGAGTGTCTAGGTAAAAATAGCATAAGAGAGTGTCTATGTAAAAATAGCATAAGAGAGTGTCTAGGTAAAAATAGCATAGGAGACAATGTGTCTAGGTATGAATAGCATAGGAGACAAGGTGTCCAGGCACGAATAGCATAGGAGACAAGGTGTCTAGGTATGAATAGCATAGGAGACGAGGTGTCTAGGTACAAAATAGCATAGGAGACAAGGTGCACAGGTACAAATAGCATAGGAGACAAGGTGTCCAGGTACAAATAGCATAGGAGACAAGGTGTCCAGGTACAAATAGCATAGGAGACAAGGTGTCCAGGTACAAATAGCTTAGCAGACAAGGTGTCCAGGTACGAATAGCATAGGAGACAAGGTGTCCAGGTACAAGTAGCATAGTAGACAAGGTGTCCAGGTACAAATAGTATAGGAGACAAGGTGTCTAGGTACGAATAGCATAGGAGACAAGGTGTCCAGGTAGGAATAGCATAGTAGACAAGGTGTCCAGGTAGGAATAACATAGTAGAAGAGGTGTCCAGGTACAAATAGCATAGGAAAAAAGGTGTCTGGGTACAAATAGCATAGGAAACAAGGTGTCTAGGTACGAATATCATATGAGACAAGGTGTCCAGGAACAAATAGCTTAGCAGACAAGGTGTCCAGGTACGAATAGCATAGGAAACAAGGTGTCCAGGTAGGAATAGCATAGCAGACAAGGCACCCAGGTAGGAATAGCATAGCATACAAGATGTCCAGGTAGGAATAGCCTAGCAGACGAGGTGTCCAGGTACAAATAGCTTAGCAGACAAGGTGTCCAGGTAGGAATAGCATAGCAGACAAGGTGTCCAAGTAGGAATAGCATAGCAGACGAGGTGTCCAAGTAGGAATAGCATAGCAGACAAGGTGTCCAGGTAGGAATAGCATAGCAGAGTGTCCACAGGATCTCACCAAATACAAAGCTGTCGGGCTTGAAGAGCTGGCCGTGGGGACCTGCCCTGACGCTGTCCATGGTGCCGGGCTCCAGGTCCACCAGCACCGCCCGGGGCACATACTTGCCCTGCACACACATATACACATTATACTATATAATTATTATTATATATAGTAAATATATATCGTATATATATTATACTATATATTATATTGCATATAAATTATACACATGTGCACATTATACTCTACAGAAGTAAGGGTACTTCCAATGCAATTAACTGTGCTGTATTATCGTAATGCATACCTAAGGAACTATTTAGGTAACACTCAACTAACTATTCAATGCTTACAACAGTGAGTGCTTAATAGGCAAATGGAAATAACGTTAAATAACTATTTAACACTTACAACAGTAAATGTTAAATAGGTAACTAACTATTTAACACTTACAACAATAAGTGTTAAATAGGTAAATAACTATTTAACACTCATAATAGTAAGTGTTAAATAGATAATTAAATATTCAATACTTACAACAGTGAGAGCTAAATAGGTAACTAACTATTTAACACTTACAACAGGGCATCATTATCATAACCTAGTGACGTACTTAACCAGCACACAAACTTACTTCAAAATTTAAAGAAGACACAGTAATTACCAATGCAATTAACTGCGCTTCTTTATCTTAACACACACTTAGAAATGTATTTGCCCTGCAACATACTCTTCGTAAACTACAGAGCTACGGGCATTCAACACGTATGTACAAATTCACTGCAATGTTCATCATTAATAAGCTATAAGATTCATTCAAATGTAAAAATGTGAAAGCCGTCATCGTTGAATTAAGGCTTTTCCATTGTTCAACCTCTGTCAGGTATATGCTTCCAACGCTCATTTTTTGCCCAACTTACAGTTGAGCAAAATTATTCTATAATCAACATTATGAGCGGCTTAAGAAAAAATATCTGATCTAGGTTATTAGACAAATGTGCACTAATAAAATTCATATAATTGAACAACATTCTTTCCAACATACTAGATACTAGATCTTCTCAAGTCTTAGATACAAATAGTTTATGGCCGGAAGTTGCCGGGCATGTTTTGTGATTCTTTAATATTTGTATTAAAAAACTCTGGCGAGTCGTCGAACACATTAAAAGAAATCAAAGGCTTAATGGTTCCATACTATAGATACTTTTGCGCATATCATGAAATAAAACTAAATAAATAATGATTGCTATCTCAAAAACACTATAATTTGCAATAAAATAGTATAGCAAGTAAAAAGGCCATACAGTATAATTCTGACATACATGAGCAGTTACAATTTAATTGATATGAATATTGAGGCAAGCATAGCGCATTATTCAGGCAAGCATAACGCATTATTCAGGCAAGTATAGCGCATTATTCAGGCAAGCATAGAGCATTATTTAGGCAAGCATAGAGCATTATTTAGGCAAGTATAACATATAACCCACCAGCCCTCATTGTAGTAGACTATGATATAACGTATTATACTATTATCATATAACGCATTATTATCATCATCATATTATATTATCATCAGAACCCACCTGGTTGCCCTCATTGTAGTAGACGATGATTTAACAAATTATAGTATTATTATATAACGTATTATTATCATCATCATATTATATTATCATCAGAACCCTACCTGATTGCCCTCATTGTAGTACCTAGACGATGATATAATGTATTACGTATATCATCGTCATATTATATTATCATCATAGCCCACCTGGTTGCCCTCATTATAGTAGACGATGATATAACGTATTACATTATCATCATCATATTATATTATCATCATAAACAACCTGGTTGCCCTCATTATAGTTGACGATGATATAACAAATTATAGTATTATTATATAACGTATTATTATCATCATCATATTATATTATCATCAGAACCCTACCTGATTGCCCTCATTGTAGTACCTAGACGATGATATAATGTATTACGTATATCATCGTCATATTATATTATCATCATAGCCCACCTGGTTGCCCTCATTATAGTAGACGATGATATAACGTATTACATTATCATCATCATATTATATTATCATCATAAACAACCTGGTTGCCCTCATTATAGTTGATGATATAACATATTATAGTATTATTAAATATTATAATAGCGCACCTGGTTGCCCTCATTATAGTTGACGATGATATAACGTATTATGCTCTCATTATATAACGCATTATAATATTATAATAACCCACCTGGTTGCCCTCATTGCAGTAGACGATGATATAACGTATTATAATATAACATATCATATCATCATCATATTATACAATTATAATAGCCCACCTGGTTGCCCTCATTATAGTAGACGATGATGCGCTCGAGCTGCAGGTCCATAAGTTCCTTGTTGGTGCCCGCATACTCGCCCGAGGGCTGGATGCCGTGCTCGTCGCTGATGATCTCCCAGAACTGAAACAAAATGCACGCTGTACTACACAGCCAACGCAATAAAGTACAATTATGTTTACAACTGTTCTGTTAACACGTTGACTACGAAGTGGTACATATGCGTACCACGAAATGTATTTCCCCAGGACGTAGTGATACATAATTAAGGTAGCCTAAAATCGGCCAAATTCAAGAACAAAAAAGGCCGATAACTCAATATATACTCGTTTTTTTTGTAGCTTCTGCTATAAAAATTCCATTCATTTTATTTTTGCAGTATTTAAAATTTAATTAGGAAGTACCTCTATCATAAATTTTAGCCGGCCAACGCAATTGAGAAAAACTAAATCACAGAATTTGCCCAGAAAAAATGACCGTCTGGCAAAACTGTTTAATAACGGTACTAAAAATGAAATAATAGTACAAGATGAAGCAATCATAGTCAACGTGTTAAGTACAATTATCTTTACAACTGTTCTGTTAAGGACAATTATGTTTACAACTGTTCTGTTAAGTATAATTAACTTTACAACTGTTGTGTTAAGTACAATTATCTTTACAACTGTTCTGTTAAGTACAATTATCTTTACAACTGTTCTGTTAAGTACAATTATGTTTGCACAATCGTAGGAGCGTAAACGGTAAACCGTGGAGTAGGAGGAACGCGAAATTTTTGGAGGCGAAATAAAAACGTTGACTTCGGTGGCAATGATCATCTAAAACTGCAATGGACTGCATGACGACGAGGGAAACCACGAGTTCATGGCTAACTAATGAATGGAAGCTCAATACACGATAATGAAGCTGGCGGCTACAGCCCATTGGCAACGAGCAGAAAATGCTTTCCGTCTGATAATTGCAACGCAAAATCTATGTTGATCTTTCCACACGACACGCGACAACGGATCCGCAGACTAGACCTAAGTTGTAATGCGCCCTAACCTTTCTGTTCTGTTACTGAAGAACTGATCATGTACACTGAGTTAAAAACGATTACGACCAGTGAAGCTGCTAACCTGCTGGGTAGTAGATCAAAATTATTTCTTGATTTCATTTTACTGTCCATCAAATTAAAAAAAAAATGATCGAAATCACAAAATTGAATCTGTAAAGGAAGGACAACAGAAAAAAAATACAAAGCATCTATATATATATATATATATATGTAGAGAGCACTGCGCATGTAAATTCATCACTCCTGCCTTTAAACTAGTACTAGCCATCAATAATCATCCTAATAAATTGAATATTAGTATAAACACTAACGTATTTGTCAACTAGTTCAAGAGCTTAATTCAACCGAAATAACAAACAAAGGCGTGGCAACTATTACTTCTACTTCTAGCTAAACAACGGCTTTGTCCCCCTGTCTCACCGTCTCATCACTTCCGGGTGGAAGCTCAGAACGCGTATCATTAGATCGCACAAAGAAAATATTCTCTACAGCATGTGAATGCAATTATAAGAGAAAAGTCTGTTATTGTTTTGCAAAGATAAAAGGAAGTCAGCATACTGAGCATAGTGCATACGGGTTGCATTGGTTATGGATCGAAGTCCCATACATAGTCGACCGTTACATCATGCGCGTCGCAACGAGATCCACCCAGCAACTACACTGCAGACCCAAAACGTCTAACTTGGCAACCTAATCTTAATCTTCAGCGCGCAAAAGGTAATGTACAAGGATGAATGAAAGCATCTCGGGGAATAGAATATCATAAGCAAGTCATTCAATACCTATAGAAACAAACTTTTGTCCCGCCGTATGTTAGACAACGTTCATATGATTTAAATCAAGAATCAAGATGTCGACGAAGACGTCGGACGAGACATCATACAATTCATACATATAAACTGCCATCGAAAGATATAATTTCAGAAATAATTAAAACTCGGGGCTTGAACATAGGACTAACTGACTAAGCCTTAAAGAATCAACAGCAATTTCATAAATGATTTGCAAACAGCCATAAAAAGTGGCCAACTGCGACTTCAATCATCATTATAGAGTCCAAAAAGTAGATCAGTACCTACGTATCATGGAGACCCGTATTTAACATCCATAAGATTATCTTGCTTGAAATAGATAAGGTTAATATAAATTAACTGGTCTTTATATAATCTCTCGCAGTGGCATGATTCATCGGTAAGGCGCGGCATAGCCTCATGATCGATCGCCACCGTTTGCCGGCGACTGAAAAGCCGCCAATGCAGGGATGGGGCGTGGCCGTCGGCTTAAACATTTCCTAATTTTCACAATAAAAGCAGCAGCAGCTCAATACTTATACTATATCATCTATCTTACCTTGGTTCCAATCTGGTTGCCACATTGGCCTGTTTGAAGATGGATAATTTCCCTCATTGTGACAAAAGTTATTTAGGCTTCACTAGGCAAACGAAACACTGCACGCCCTCCTCGGTTCGTGTCTGGATACAGACTACCAAGCTTTGTGAAATTGTGACGCGAGTCTGTGTCAGTGAGTCACTCAGCAAACTGGGTGAGGTCTGCGAAGAAATGAAGGCTACAAGGCGTTCAAATCGAAATGCTTATTTGAGGTATTTTTGTCGAATATGAAGCATTGAAGAGAAAATAGTGACTGCTCGCTGCAGTGCATTCCTACTAATTAATTATGTTCTTAATTTTGTGCAGATCGGTTAGAATTGAAGACGTGAGGCGCTAAACACGCGACAAAATACGTTCCGCGTTTGAGTACACAATTTGACCCAAATTTCAGTTTATATATGTCGTTATTATTAGCTTTTCATAAAACAATTTTTTTAATGAAGCTCTGATCCAGAAGCACTGTAATCCATATGTAACAACAGTACCTATTTCGCTCCTACTATAATTACTCGCGGTTTTCAAAAGTTTATCCTCTATATGGTTTTCTATTCTTTACTCGTGTCAACAATTTCATGGAGTTCTATATGAAATAGGATTGGAACATAAGCATTCTGATTTGAAATAAAAATTAGAGGATGGATTTTGAAGACTAGTGTTATAACCATTCAAAATATTGTATTTTCATTCATTTATTTTTCCCTAATAAGTTCTTCAGTGTGCAAAATTTTTCCCTCAACGTCACTCGAGTTTATCAGGGAGTGTTTGCAAAGCACACAGAGATAATAGGGGCCTTATCTCTGTGCACAGGGAGTGTTCGCAAAGCACAGATAGATAAAAAGGACCTAATCGGCGATAAGGCCCCCTAATACCACTAATAATGAAATACTAATACGTCGTCTTCCTCAGTAGCTTCTTGACAACAGCGTAGGCTGTACGAAATGAGTCCCTTCCATAAATGTGCTCGCAGACCTCTCGTCGCAGCCATGATACACGTCGGGGCCTTGCCAGGTTAGAATAGAACTTATATAAATGTGTTCGCAGACCTTTAGTCTAAAGAGTTTAGTGGTAGCCATGACACCATTGGGGCCTTAACAGGCTAGAAGTTAGAATGTAAATGTTCATTTACAGCAGATGTGGTAACAGAGGTAGGGAGGCCCAGTGGTTACAGTTCAGAGTACCAAGATTGGCGCAGAGAGGTATGAGTTCGATACTAGATTTGTGCGACAATTTTTGGTCAAAATAAGCAAGAACCCGCCAAGGAGGCTGGGTGGTCAAGCACAACAAAATTTCATCAGTGAGTTGCCTGTCCGAAAACGTAACAAGCTTTGAATATTCTGCGATGTTCAGAATCAGCGACAGGCTTGATCTGTGAAATATCTATACGTTCTAGATGTCGTGTCCAACATACAGTTTATCTTTCAAGAGGGTGGTTCCCAGGGACACAAATTGGGCGAAGTGTGATAAATCAAAACAAATACAGATCTCTAGCGAGAGTGACAAGCAAAAATAGTTACTAATCATGAGTGTAACGGCGAAATGAATGACAAATGAATGACGATGATAGGTGGACCATGAAAGTTTAAAGTTGTTTGTTTGTCTGAGAGGGATTTTGAATTATTTTGAATCCAGAAGTTTTTATTCGTGTCATTACACTGACGTTTTGTTATATTATAGTGTACTGAAACAGAGCCTCAGTAAATGATAATTAATAAAATCAATTCCTTTTCTTTCTGTTGGAATGGTGAGTAAATGATAATGATGCATCATAGCCCCCATAGCATATCAATGGAGTAGCAGCTACAAATGCTACAGCCAGACGACTGAAGTAGCATGCAGCAATAAAACTGGAGTAGCATGCAGCCATATGACTGAAGTAGCATGCAGCAATAAAACTGGAGTAGCATGCAGCCATATNACTGTACTGTACTGACTGTAGTACACTGTACCAGGACATGGTGGTGGTAGAGAACATGCACGACTGTACTGTACTGTACTGACTGTAGTACACTGTACCAGGACATGGTGGTGGTAGAGAACATGCACGACTGTACTGTACTGTACTGACTGTAGTACACTGTACCAGGACATGGTGGTGGTAGAGAACATGCACGACTGTACTGTACTGTACTGACTGTAGTACACTGTACCAGGACATGGTGGTGGTAGAGAACATGCACGACTGTACTGTACTGTACTGACTGTAGTACACTGTACCAGGACATGGTGGTGGTAGAGAACATGCACGACTGTACTGTACTGTACTGACTGTAGTACACTGTACCAGGACATGGTGGTGGTAGAGAACATGCACGACTGTACTGTACTGTACTGACTGTAGTACACTGTACCAGGACATGGTGGTGGTAGAGAACATGCACGACTGTACTGTACTGTACTGACTGTAGTACACTGTACCAGGACATGGTGGTGGTAGAGAACATGCACGACTGTACTGTACTGTACTGACTGTAGTACACTGTACCAGGACATGGTGGTGGTAGAGAACATGCACGACTGTACTGTACTGTACTGACTGTAGTACACTGTACCAGGACATGGTGGTGGTAGAGAACATGCACGACTGTACTGTACTGTACTGACTGTAGTACACTGTACCAGGACATGGTGGTGGTAGAGAACATGCACGACTGTACTGTACTGTACTGACTGTAGTACACTGTACCAGGACATGGTGGTGGTAGAGAACATGCACGACTGTACTGTACTGTACTGACTGTAGTACACTGTACCAGGACATGGTGGTGGTAGAGAACATGCACGACTGTACTGTACTGTACTGACTGTAGTACACTGTACCAGGACATGGTGGTGGTAGAGAACATGCACGACTGTACTGTACTGTACTGACTGTAGTACACTGTACCAGGACATGGTGGTGGTAGAGAACATGCACGACTGTACTGTACTGTACTGACTGTAGTACACTGTACCAGGACATGGTGGTGGTAGAGAACATGCACGACTGTACTGTACTGTACTGACTGTAGTACACTGTACCAGGACATGGTGGTGGTAGAGAACATGCACGACTGTACTGTACTGTACTGTACTGTACTGTACTGTACTGACTGTACTGACTGTACCAGGACATGGTGGTGGTAGAGAACATGCACGACGCGCCCTATGTGTCGCCCCAGCACTCAGGTCCTGAGGTCGTGGCCGCCATGACAGCTGTCTGCGTCGCCGTCAGGAGACGCTGGGGGCGCCGCCCCTTGGGGTGCCAGGTGCCTGAAATTAATGAATTTATTATTATTATGCCTGATATTAATGAATTATTTTTATTATGCCTGAAATTAATTAATGTTTCTTATTATGCCTGAAATTAATGAATGATTTTTTTATTATGCCTGAAATTGATGAATGTTTTTTGTTCGGCTTTTTATTACATATATAAAATAATAGAACAAGACCATTTATAGCGCATTTTCTCATTTGTGGAAAAGAGGCTCTATTGTGCTCGTCATGTCCGTCTGTCCGTCTGTCTGTCAGTTTCTTCGTCCGTCTGTCTGTCTGTCTGTCTGCATGTCTGTCTGTCCGTCTCTTTGTCCGTCTGTCCGTCCGTCTGTCCGTCCGTCTGTCCGTCTGTCTGTCAGTCTCTTCGTCCGTCTGTCTGTCTGTCTGTCCGTCTCTTTGTCCGTCTATCCGTCCGTCTGTACGTCTGTCTGTCTGTCCGTGACTTCACGTTTTCGTCGACGAGAAAATGCGCTCTCTGTCACTCACTGCAGTGAGTACTAAGTTATATTTTTTATTGCTTTGTTCGACTAATTGAAATAACGAATAAGAAGATTATTAATAAAAAGCATGCTTTGTTATTTAATCAAACTTGCATAAAAGAAATTTTTCCGCGGATTTACACCATGAATTGAATTATTTTAATATATTATTATTAACATAATTTGTTAATAATTAATATTTTTTAATTAATATTAATTTAATAATAATAATTTAATATTTATATCTATGCGCGTTGACTTCTCTGCGAATCTGATGAAAAAAATTATTCTTCATTCAATAACAGGAATTGATTTTCATGGAACTTATTTATCATATATACATAAAACTTATTTTTGGCAAATTCCCGTAATTTAATTTGGTATAATTTACTTAAATTCATTTACAATTCGAATTTCCTATAATTATGATATTTAAATACCATGGTAGGCTGACCCCTCATCGTAGACCTGATAATATTTTGAGTCGTGATTCATGTTCAAAAATATTACCTATATATTATATAATACTATGATGCTATAGCATTAGTAATACTAATTTGAGGATTACTTTTACTAATGTTTAGCATCTATTTTATTCATTTTAGGAAATCACGAAAATATACGTACAGATTTAATTTATGATACATATAATCGAACAGCGATAGGCTATCTTATTTAATAAACTCACTTAACAACCAAAAACCTTAATTATAGAAATGCATAAACTGAAAATGATGAATCGCTGGATCAATTATTGCATTTTGATGCATAAGATCGCGTTTTAATTGCAGGCAATAAATATTTGATAAACTAACTTTAGTATATATAAATTTTGTTTGCTCTGGCCGTGGCGCTCGCCAGCGACTTGGACTTCGTGAGGGCGGAAGGCTTCGTGTTCGGACACGTCGCTGACGAAGGCTACACGAATGCGTGCGCCGGGACACTCCTCAGGTACCGTGCGTGTCGCTGACGAAGGCTACACGAATGCGTGTGCCGGGACACTTCTCAGGTACCGTGCGTGTTGCTGACGAATGCGTGTGATGGGACACTTCTCAGGTACCGTGCGTGTCGCTAACGAAGGCTACACGAATGCGTGTGCCGGGACACTTCTCAGGTACCGTGCGTGTTGCTGACGAAGGCTACACGAATGTCTTCTCAGGTACCGTGCGTGTGGCTGATGAAGGCTACACGAATGCGTGTGCCGTGACACTTCTCAGGTACCGTGCGTGTTGCTGATGAAGGCTACACGAATGCGTGATATATACAAGAGAAAGTATATACATATATATGATAACCATAAAAGAATATATAGATACTTGAACAGAACTTACAAAGTCATACAATAAGGCAGCATGAACTGCTAACTAAAATACATAATACTTTGAAACATATCGTAAAATATCAGCAGCTCAACTACTGAATATTGTTGCAGAAATCGAATATACTTACATATATGATAATAATTAGAGAATATATAGATACTTGGACAGAGTTCACCCAGTCATGCAATAAGGCAGCATGAAGTGCTAACTGAAATACATTTGAATTTTGAAATATATGAAAAAATATAAATCAGTACTAACAGCAGTGAGTGACAGTCTGACAGAGAGCGCATTTTCTCGTCGACGAAAACGAAGTCACGGACAGACCGACGGACAGACGGGCAGACAGACAGGCAGGCGGACAGACGGACGGACAGACGGACGGACAGACGGATGGACAGACTGACAGAAGGACAGACGGACGGACAGACAGACCGACAGACAGACAGACAGACAGACGGACGGACATGGCGAGCACAATAGCGCCTTTTTTCCATAAATGAGAAAATGCGCTAAAAATGTCAGCAGTTCAACTACTGAACACTTATACCGTCACGTGCAGGTATCGTCGTCACATCGGAGCGCAGCATATTGGCATCTGGGCAGACATCAAGAAAAAACACAGGTAGCTGATAAAAGATCTGGGCAGACAGAGGGAGATCACCTTACCCCTGAATAACTTTCCCCTGAGTAACTTTCCATTAATAATTTTCCCTTGAATAACTTTTGTCAGGAGCTATATCATGCGCCTTCTGGGATACGTGACTAAGTTCGTGAGGGATAAGCAAGACACCATCTGTCTAGAGTACTTAATTATATTGATACGGAGTGGTTATAAAGGAGAGTTTTATTATTGGTAAGAGGCTAGACGTCGACCGTAAGGGTACGCACACAGTGAAAGCAGGTTGTCAGCGTGCTGGTTGCCTGCTCTGGCTGGCGCCTGAAACCATGGAATACAGAAGCCTATTCGTACAGGTTTTCACTGTGAACACTTACATTATTATCCTATGTTCATTCTTGTGGCAGGTTGGAGCAGGTTGCCCGCGCGGGCAAAACTGCTTTCACTGTGTGGGTACCCTAAGGTCGGAGTAGCTCCTACGCGAGTTACATTCCCAGTCAATCAGGTCTTGATCGATCGATGAAGATTAGGGCGGATCGACGAAGAAATTATTGCAGATTCTTGCTCAGTCGATCAACCTCTATAACGTCAAGTTAATATTACGTCTCAAGTACATATGATCATCTCTTATAATATAATAAAATGAATATAACGAGAAGCCAGATCGACACCGGACACTTTCCCGTGAAAATTTTTCTCTTAATTGAATGAGTAATCACTGCCGGACCTCATTAATTATTCGCCAGATGATGATAATAATGGTCAAAGAATGACACCATTAACCGTTCGCCAGTTAATTGCGATAAATATCGCTGCAGAATCCCATTACCCATTCGCCAGTTAATTGTAACAATTATCGCAGCATGACACCATTAACCATTAGCTATTAAAAGTACTAATGATGACAGCTCGCACGCCATCACGGCCGACGTGAGTCTGGGCGACACAGCGCGGGCGGCAGCATTCTTCGGGGCGGCGGCGGTGGTTCTACTGAACACTTATACCGTCACGTGCAGGTATCGTCGTCACATCGGAGCGCAGCATATTGGCATCTGGGCAGACATCAAGAAAAAACACAGGTACCTCGTTAAGAGATCTGCTGGGCAGGCAGAGGGAGAAAATGAAGATTTTTTTTTCAATTAATACCTTTCCCCTAAATAACTTTCCTTGCAATAACTTTCCCCTTAATAATTTTCCCTGATTAACTTTCCCCTTACTAATTTTCCCCTTAGTAACGTTCCCATAACAACTTTCCCCGTAATAACTTTCCCCCCTTAATAACTTTCCCTTTAACAACTTCCGCACGAATAACTTTCCTGTGAATAACTTTCCCATGAACGAGTTTCCCCTAATTGAATGAGTGATCATTGAAGGAACCCATTATATAATCATTCGCTAGTTAATTGTAATAATTATCGCAGCAGGTCCCCATTAACCATTCATCAGTTTATTGTAATAATTATCACAACACGACACCATTAACCATTAGCCAGTTAATTGAAACAATGGCCGCAGCAGGTCCCCATTAACCATTCGTTAGTTAATTTTAATAATGACCGCAACATGACACCATTAACCATTCGCTAGTAATAGTACTAATGATGACAGCTCGCACGCCATCACGGCCGACGTGAGTCTGGGCGACACAGCGCGGGCGGCAGCATTCTTCGGGGCGGCGGCGGTGGTCGTGACAGGGGCGGCCACGGGCGAGGAGACGGACGTCGGACACTTGCGGGGTACCTTACTTGCTACTGTGCTGTTTATGATTACAGGGCCTATACTTTAAGAAAAAGTTAAAAGATCGTAAGTTCATCAGCCAATCATTGACGGCCTTTCGAGCAAAATCATAGACAAAAAAATAGAGCGTAAGTGCTTACGTTCACTTAGCGAGTTTTGAAAGTATAGGCCCTGGTGTATTGTTGGCATTTATTGGTATATTGTTTATGATTACTGGTGTATTGTTGGCACTTATTGGTATATTGTTTATAATTATTGGTATATTGCTTATAATTACTAGTGCATTGTTGGCACTTATTGGTATATTGTTTATGATTACTGATGTATTGTTGGCACTTACATGGTGCTTTTCTGATCTCCACCAGTCTCTACTTATCACTAGTATGTGCTGATATGTAGAATAGAATAGAATAGAAGTGTCGGCATTGAATAAATAGGCCCATGGCCTGTTGCCGATTCTTGAACTTTTCGTGACTTGATTCACAAGGGATCCGGCCTTTGGAACCTGATCTTTCCATTACTGACGATTGATTGAGATAGCTGCTGGACTTATTGCCTGGTCCGTAATTTAGTCTAGTCTGTTTTTGGAGGCATTCATACTCGGAGCGTCAACGATGCTATCAGGGAGGCTGTTCCACTTGTCGGTGACTCGAAGCGAGAAGAAATGTTGTCGCATATGGATATGTTACAACGCAGTTTTTTTTAGTTTATAGCCGTGGCCCCTGGTGTTGGTTCTTGTTTCAAATTGTGAGTTGCGAGTTCGAAACCGCAAAATGCTGTGAATGTTCTGCGATGTTAAGAATCGGCTACAGGCCTACGGCCTACTAAACGCTGAAACCGCTATTATTATTATGGCTGTTCCGAGACCACTGCGTTATGCTCTGCATCACCGCAAGCCACAGACCTTCATCTGCATAAATGAAATTGTTAAAAAAAGGATTTTATTTTTTGGGGTGTGGACGAATTGGATTCATATTTGCGTACCCCCTCTACCGTAACCTCATATCTACCGTAATCTACGGTCTGTAGATCTACATCGTGTGACGTGTTTTGAATTCAACTGGCGTTGTGATATCCCACCAAATCATGCACCGAGAAATGGATACCTACACACTATTACAATGTTATTATTCAATTTTGAATACAGACAAACATAGATGATGTTTTGCTCAGAAATGGCTAGACTTTAATCTAACCGTTAGAATAAAGTTTAGTTATTTTTGCAATACACGTCATGTATGTTTATCTGTATTAAAAATTGAATAATATATAACCTGTGCTTACATTGGGAATATTTTCGTTGCAGATGGCAAGAAGAAGTGTGTCCGCAGCGCGTGGCGGCTTTTATGGACAAGATGAAGTCACTGCGATCGGAACATCGAGCGCAACCAAAATTTTGAAATTATTCAATGAAATATGAATTATCTAATGAATTGTGGAGTGGAATTGTGGAAGTGGTGCAAGAAGTGGAATTCTGAGGGGCATGAGATTTATAGAAAACTATACGCGGATAGAGTATTTATAGATAACTTTGAGCGGATAGAGTATTTATAGATAACTTTGTGTGGATAGAGTATTTATAGAAGACTATGAGGACATAGAGTATTTATAGATAACTGTGCGGATAGAGTATTTATAGATAACTTTGTGTGGATAGAGTATTTATAGATGACTATGTGCGGATAGATTATTTATAGATGACTATTAGCGGATAGAGTATTTGTAGATAACTATGTGCGGATAGAGTATTTATAGATGACTATGTGCGGATAGAGTATTTATAGATGACTATGTGCGGATAGAGTATTTATAGATTACTATGTGCGGATAGAGTATTTATAGATGACTATGTGCCGATAGAGGATCTTCGGGTTATTTAAGCTGGAGAAAATTAATAAACTGAAGCCCCAAATTGCATGGTAAAAACATTTTTAAATCCTCATAGGTGTGAATTTGAAGAGAAAGAACTTGTAAATCCTCGTAAGAAAAAAATTGGACGAGTAATTAAGTGTATGTATCTATATCTAAAGTGACTGTAGGCTTGAATTCAAAAATAATTTCCTTTCAGAGTGATCTCACTTAACATTATAACTGTTTTTTGCTATTTATATTTATTAGTTGCATTCGACCGTCATAAAAAAATTCTATGTAAGACGTAATGAAGAGCTCTATGTAATGAATAATTAACGAATAATGAGCTGAAAATAACATTAAGCTTCACAATAAAAGTGGTAATAAGGGAACGATTCTCGAACTCCTATCTTAGCTGCAGGCTGTTTTTGTGTGAACTTATCTTAGCCGTAGGCTGTGTTTGTGTGAACTTATCTTAGCCGTAGGCTGTGTTTGTGTGAACTTTTCTTAGCCGTAGGCTGTGTTTGTGTAAACTTATCTTAGCCGTAGGCTGTGTTTGTATGAACTCTTATCTTAGCCGTAGGCTGTGTTTGTGTGAACTTATCATAGCGTTTGGCGGTGTTTGGCCGTTGTTTGGAAGTTAGTAAGTTACAACGCAGCGAAGTTGTAAGTTGCAGCGGAGTTTGGTCCACTCAGAGTGATCACGACGCCTCGGACAAATTTACGGCCGGACTTGAGACCGGTCTCGCGGCCGCAGGACTCCAAACATAAAAAAAAACCTAGCCAATCAACGAAAACCTCGCAGGTTAGGTCCAGTTAGGAACAGGTTCCATTAAAAACACAAAAAACCTAGAAAACCCCATAAAAACACTAAGAAAACCTTTCCGTCCGCGAGACCGGCCGCGGGTCCGGCCGTAAATTTGTCCGAGACCTGAGATCACGACTAAAGGACGATATTATAGACCGAAGTATCACGTAACAGATTTTATTGACATGTTGAACATAATTAAAGGGATTTCAAAAACTATGTGCATCAAGTTATTAAGAATAACGCAGTTAAAGCAAAAATTCGTCGCACTGAACTGTTTAGAAATGCAGCCAGAAAAACAAAAGTTATCAGAATGCTTACGCGTAATAAATCCGAATAAGTGTACGAAAATATTTTCAAAATGAGTTAGCAATGTGTTGCGAAAAAATCTTTGAAGTCGGAGGAAAGTGAATTGAACTTTTTGTAAGTTAGATATGTAGCTAACAATAGAAAATAGAAATAACATAATTAATACAAAAAAATAGCACCCAATTTCAACTCGATATTGCTCGGTCTTGAATTCGACGAGAGGATATCATCGTTCAAACCTAGAAATTGTTCTTAAAAAGCACAATGATCATCAACAGGCGATTAAAAGAAATGCTGGTTCAGGGCAAACAACCCATTCTACAGAATTCACTTCAAACAAATCAATAGAATCAAATAAAATTTCGCTTTCATGCGGTAAATACTAAAATATATAAGCATGATAGGACTGAAAATTATTAGTCTTGAAATATATCAACAGCTTAAACCGAAAAAGCACTTCTTCCAAGAATTTGATGTACCAAACACTGTTTCTCCTGTTGAACTACGTATATTAATGCTTACGTCATTGTTTCACTGCATCAAACAACACTTTGAAATGTTTTGGAGAGATTCTGACCCCTTTTTAATTCAGGGCAGAGTGGTTAAAGTTCAGAGTACCAGGATTGGCGCAGAGAGGCGCGGGTTCGATCCCAGCTCTGTGCGCCAGTTTCTGGTCAGAATCGGCAAGGAGGCCGGGCGGTTAAGCACAGCAGAATTGTAGCAGTGAGTTGCGAGTTCGAGACCGATAAATATTGTGAATGTTCTGCGATGTTAAGAATCGGCGACAGGCCTACGGCCTACTAAACGCTGAAACCGCTATTATTATTAAATTCAGTATACCTTGAAAAGAACTTGGTTACAAATATCTAGATGGTCTCAGCCATGGTCATGGCATTTTGAGTTTCTTGAAATCTAATGTAGAAACATATTTTGCAATGCAATTGTTGTGTGGCTTAACTATATATTAACATAACATAACATAGTAATCTCGGCGCTGAATTGTAGGCCTGGTGTGGCCTGTCGCCGATTCTTTTCCTTTTGGCCTGTCGCCGATTCTTTCAAGCCTTATTCACAGAAGATCTAAAATCGTGTCATTTGACCGGATATTTACATGACTGATGATAGTTTGAAGTAGCTACTAGACTTCCACCGGGTTCGATATGGTGCTAGGCATTTCAAATCTGAAAATATATTTTTCCATAGCTTTATCTAGTCTGCTCTTAAACGCGTTCATACCTGGAGCGCCAACAATGTCATCGGGGAGGCTGTTCCACATGTCGGTGATCCGAAGCGAGAAGAAATTTTGTCGCGTGGAGAAGTTGCAGCGCAGTTTTTTTAGTTTATAGCCGTGGCCCCTGGTGTTGGTTCTTGTTTCAAATTCTTTATTCTTCGCAGCCATGAAAACCAAAGTTATCCGAACCATAACGCGTATTAAATCAGAATAAGTGAACGAAACTATTTTCAAAATGAGTTAGCAATGTGTTGCGAAAAAAGCTTTGAAGTCGGAGGAAAGTGAATTGAACCTTTTGTATGATATGTATAATGTACCTAACAATAGACACAATACAACGCAACGAAGTTGTAAGTTGTAACAGAGTTTGGTGCATTCAGAGTGATCAGGACTCAAGGACGATATTACAGACCAAAGTGTCACGTAAGAGAACTTATTGACACGGTGAACATAATTAGAGGGGTTTCAAAAACTGTGAGCATCATGTTATTATTAGTTGTTGTTTGATGCAGTAAAACAATGACGTAAACATTAATTTACGTAGTTCAACAGGAGAAGCAGTGTTTGGTACATCAAATTTTTGGAAGAAGTGCCTTTTCGGTTTAAGCTGTTGATATCTCTCGAGACTAATAATTTTCAATCCTATCATGCTTTTATATGTTAGGATGAATAAATGTATATATAAATATAGTCGAAAATATTAAAAGATGTTTGTATTCAGCAAATTTATCGCACTTATTGAAGCTGAAAGGATATCCAAATGAAGACAAAATTGAATACTTATTTCTACTATGGTATCGATTTATGTTCTTGAAAACTTCAATATTTATGAAATATTCCTTCATTTGGATTTTGGAGTCGGAACGAAAAGGCGGAACGATACAAGCACTGATACAAACTTTGCGCGCGAACCGAGTAAAAGCGTATGGCGAAGAAGTTCTTTCTAATAATTTTTGAATTTGTGATTGAAATATTTTGTTATTTGCATTTAAAACTTGTGTGCAAAACTATGGAATATTAGAGTAATACTTAATAAATACTGAAATTTTTGTTTTTGCAATTCGCTTTTAATTTATCAATCATGGATGATCCTGCACAAGCAAGTAATTCAGGTGAGTTTTGGAAGTTGATTAGCCTAAGTAGGCCTATCCGCCTATTGCTATTGGAAACACTCCTAAGACAATTAGGATTATAGTTTTAGAATCACATGGTGTTGACTGTTGAGATTTTGTTCAAATAATTTTTTTTAATGTGTGTACAGTATTTAATATTGAATTTTGATTAAGCCAATTAAGCCATGAGGCATGAAGGCTACTAATTTGTTTGTAGATAGCTTTTCCAGTTTAGAATTTTTCTGTTTGTTGAAGTCAATTTTAGTATGCTTGAATAAAATGCTTGGCACCTGGAATGATAGAGGGCCGAGGGGGTAATAAATTAACCAGTACCTACTCAAAAATACCCATGGAATACTAGGTATTTGGCTTTTGGCACAATTCACAAGTACAAACATTATGAATTTGCACAAACTATCAATAAATTTCAGGATTGGAATTTTCCTACTGGCTACCATTCTTGTTAAGTTGTTTCTGAAATCTTATGGCTCCAACGTGACAAATTTTTAATACATTTGGAATCTCACGGCCCAATTGTGCACTTTAGTTAACGGTTAGGATAGATAGGACTAGGAGGTAATTCATCTGGCGGAAATCTTGTGGTTCCAGAAGGCGCCAAGGCGGAAGTGGCAGACTGGCAGGAATGCTCTAGTCGCAAGTTGCGCCTGTCACGGCAATAATGGTTAAATGGGAGAAGTTTTCCATGTTTTACAATCATGGTGTAATTCTCAGTTCTCACCCAAATTAGGAATTCATATACCAATATAATTTTCATGTAGATCAAAGTCAATATTTAGTGTCTTAAATGCTCATTCTTTAATGTAAAGTTACATATAAATTAAAAATCTAAAATTAATTATTTTTTGAGATTTCTTATTTAGAACAAATTATGATTTTATGAGTTCATGTCAAAGCAGGCTAATGGAGCCGGCAGCAGCAATGCGGCATCACATGGGATACGTATCTTGTGCGTGTCTTGACTGTAAAAAGCGTAAAGCAAGTATTTTAGAAACAATTTTTTTAGACCATTCTAGACATTAAATATTCTTCAATTCTTATTAAATTTTATAAAATCAAATAATTATTATACCTATGTTTTTATTGAAAATGAACAAATAAACTTGTGGCAAAATAATTTCATTTTATATTAATTTTCTCTTATGGCTGTAACTCATAGAAAACTTTTCACTGATAGACTTTGATTGTGAGTTATTTGTGACATACTAGATTACTAGTAATGGGAGAATTCTCATGATGCAAGCTTTTAGGTTTTACTTGAAAATTCTCATTTCAGGTGATGATTCTGCTTGTAAGTGTAGCAAAGCAGGGAAATATCAAGTATGGGGATATAATTTTATGATTAATTAGTAGCATAAGTGAATATCTAATTCTTTACATTAGCAATCAATGTCAAGTGACATTTGATCAGACAGTGTAGACCATCTAAGACCAATCAATTCTGAAAGCAGTTAAATAGGACTTGAGTCTAGTTGGGAAAAGCCCTACTTTTTTCTGAAATATCATATAATTTTAGAAATATTGTACAATTTTATTTAATTTTTATAATTTTAATTTTATTTTCATTATTTAATATCATATAATTTTATTAGTTATGAAATCTAGTGGCTCTACTGTCATGTATTTTGTTTGATTGATGAAATTGCGGTTTGCACTTCGCAAACGTGTCATTTAATAAAATTTTCAACTTCTGCAATCCACAGTACTTCAACACTCCTGCAAAAATATCCTGCATAATGTCATGATAACAAGTCAACCCAAAACCTTTTGTTGAAGGTCGAATAGTTGCGGACACGTCAGAGCAGTCGCCAGTCAGACTGCATTCTCACATGTTCAGTTGCCACTAAAGTAAAGACAAATGTTATTTTTGCTGTCTGACTGTTTCTAGGGTAAAATTAGAGATTTGAGGTAACACATGCACAGAACTTTGTTAAAAAGTTCATGGCTCATAAATGGTTCTTCATGGTTTATTCCTAATGATGGCCGGGACATAGAATTCATGGCTCAAAGAAATGGAATTACGGCTTGCAAATCCATAAAACCAAGGCTTGAAAAATCCAGTCACGGTTCAGAGAGGAGATATTTTTCCCTATAGAATTGAGTACCCTATATAGCCAAATATAATTTATATATAGCCAATATATTTATATATAGACAATATAGCCAAATTATAATTTATTTTACAAGTATATATGATATGAGAGATGCTTTGAAGTTTCTCAATGTAGGTATTGTTTACAAAATTGAAATCTATGTGTAAACATATATGTATAATATTATTTAGGCATTTAATGTCCTAAAACCTGACTTCAATACTTTTTTTTTATTTTGAAGCAAATTAAAATATCGTGTTGGTAGAACTGTCGTTGTTGATCAAATCTTTCTTTTGTTTACTTAGTATGCACTTGTGTCTTGTGAGGGATGGTTCTAGTATGCTGTGGAACAATCCGTGGTCACCCATCATGCTTCTCCATTGAGAGCGATTTACGATTGATATGTCCAATGCGCAATGATTGGCCCAGATGTATGCGCATTACGTAAGATGGTTATGGCCGACGCATGAATATTGGCATGGACGTACAGGCATTATGATTGTTACGACCGACGCGCGATGATTGGCATGGACATACCGGCATTACGATCGTTATCTCTTACAATCTGCCGACTGTTCCAGTCTTGTTAACAAGTTTCTTTAGCAGTTGCATGATTACATAGCACCAAGATGGTTCAATTCTCATTTTTAATAGTTAAAATAAATAATTGAGTGTCCTAATATTTTCTGTGTCATTTGACTGCAGAGTTTTCTAAATTCCATGTATACAAATTTCAGAGTGACATATTATTTATTGTTTAGTCAATTATATCTTGCCATGTAATACTAGCATTATTTTTGTTATGCAAAGTTTTGAAACAAATTATGTTTCAGATGATGCTGTTGATTCCATTGCGTCATCTCGATCCCGACGTAACAAGCCTGATAAACTGGGAAGAAATGCTGCCTTTGCAAAGTTACGAGATCTCAAGGGCTCCAAGCATAAATACCAGGTAATTTTTATCGCATTTTCTCATTCATGGAAAAAATGCACTATTGTGCTTGCCATGTCCGTCCGTCCATCTGTGCATGACCTCAAGTTTTCATCGACGAGAACATGCGCTCTCTGTCACTCACTGCAGTGAGTACTGAGTTACATTTTTTAGTTTAGTTGCTCCTGCTTTATATTAGAAAAAACTGAACATAATTTTCAACCATACATTGTCTGTGATTGAAAGAGATTGAAAAATAAGCCTTGATTTGTTAAAGAAGGATTTCCTCATTCCTGGAAATAAATATGGAAACAAAAAATTAAAGTTTAATTTAATTGAAAGTTAAAATTTGAATCGAATAATTTAAAATTAAATAATTAAAAAAATTAAATAAAAGTAAAGCTTCTTATTTGTATGGTGTCTTGCCTCATTAATTTATAATCAATGTTCCAATTGAAACAGAAAAAGCTATAGCTACTTTAATCAATTTTGTGTTTAGAGTTTGCTTCTGTGTTGAAAGCTAATAGCTAAATCTTTACTGACATCTCACCAAAACATTTTAGACCTTTAGTTCCACACAAGATTTAAAACCAAAATTTGCTTAATATGTTTCTCTAAAAATAACAATACTATCATTGCAGTGATATCATCCTAGTACTCAAATTTGACGATCTTTATTTCAACTTTAACACTGGTAATTCTTAGTATAGGCTTCTGTTTGGCTTTTATATGTATAGTTTTATCAGAATTCTTTCAATGTTATGTCTTAATGCATTTATTTTGTTGTAATTTTAAAAATATATGTATCTATCCAGAGGAAATATTGATTGGCTGTAATTATCCTTTTATTATTTCACAGGTTTCTGATGTTGCTCCAGTGTATGAAGAGGTGGACGAGAAGGAGTACAGTCGGCGTCGCCAAGATAAGATGCAAAATGACTGGATTGTGGATGATGGTCTGGTTGTTGTTTACTAGTTAATCCTTGAAACTATCTTAACACTTTGACTGCGATTGCTTCATCTCGTACTATTATTTCATTTGTTGTACTATTATGAAACAAGATTGCCAGACAGTCTTTTTTTTCCGGACGAATTCTGTGATTCAGTTTTTTGTCAATTGCGTTGGCCAGCTAAAATTTATGATCATAGGGGTACTTCCTAGTTAAATTTAAATAAGAGTGAAATGGAAATTTTACACCGGAACCTTAAAATATACTAGAATATATTGAGTTATAGACCTTTTTTGGAGTTTTAGGTTCGCGGACTTGGCCATATTTTAGGCCAGCTGGCATCCCTGAATTATGCACCACTACGTCCTGAAGGAATACATTTTGTGGTACACATATGGCGCAATATGCGGGGAACGTGTTAAATTTGCAGGGGTGCATGTACAAATTACATTCATTACAATTTTGCATTCATTCATTGGTTACTTATAGACCTCACAAAATAATTCTTTTTATCAACCTGCTGACTACTGATGTAAAATGCTGATATGGTTGTGTTTTTCTAGAGAAAGTGGATCCATAAGAGAATTAAATGCTTAAATAAAAAAGAGAACCTGAACAATTAATTTTGTATTGAACTATTCCATGATCTCAATCATTTTTTGCAATAGGTAACAATTGGAATATTTTCGGAGACTTGGAGTATCAATTTCTGTCTCTGTTGTGATAGCTCTAAGTGTGATTAAAAGCGAGGGATTTCACTTCAATTTTAACTCTGACAGCAACATTTGCACCTGCGACAACTTCTGGATACCCACAATTTGTTAATCAATATCAATCACTTACATTGATTGCAGTGCTTATGTTGCAGAGAGCTAAGATAAATTATGAAGTATGTATTGCTTATTGATTTTTTTTTTGGCAGATGGAAGTGGATATGTGGAGGATGGACGAGAGATATTTGATGAAGAAGATGATGGAGATGACGACATGTTCCTTTCAAAGAAGAGTTCTCGCAAGGAGAAAAGCAAGAAAGAAGAGAAGATGCGTGGCAGCATCAAGGACATGCTCATCAACATGCCTGTGAAGAAGCGCAAAGCTGAGGTCTGTTATAAAATATATTAAAAAGCTTAGAATCTTTATTTCAGCTGACAGTGTTATAATATACCGAGTAAAAAGCTGAAAATCTTTCAAAGCTGAGGTCTGTTATAAAATCTATTAAAAAGCTTAGAATCTTTATTTCAGCTGACAGTGTTATAATATACCTAGTAAAAAGCTGAAAATCTTTCAAAGCTGAGGTCTGTTATAAAATCTATTAAAAAGCTTAGAATCTTTATTTCAGCTGACGGTGTTATAATATACCTAGTAAAAAGCTTAAAATCTTTCAAAGCTGAGGTCTATTATAAAATCTATTATTAGTCTAAAAATCCTTATTTCAGCTAATAGCCTGAAATGAAGCACTAACTGTTTCAAAGAATTTAGTTGTCCTAAGGTTGCTGTATTTCAGATGAAAAGCTTGTCTTTACAATAAGCCGCAATATAATGTGATGAAATTAGCAGACTTTGGTATTTTTGAAATTTATTTGCAAATATACTAAGAGTTTTATCTAATTTATTTGCATTAGTTTGTATATATAATTTAGCATGAATGTATTCTGATGTGTGGTTCATCTCTAGTTCAACACTAGTGGTCTGATCTATTCTGATATGTGGTTCATCTCTAAGACTCTAGCACAACACTAGTGGTCTTATGTATTCTAATGTGTTGTTCGTCTCTAGCTCAACACTAGTGGTCTGATCTATTCTAATGTGTGGTTCATCTCTAGCTCAACACTAGTGGTCTGATCTATCCTGATGTGTGGTTCGTCTCTAGTTCAACACTAGTGGTCTGATTTATTCTGATGTCTGGTTCATCTCTAGTTCAACACTAGTGGTCTGATCTATGAAAATTGTCAGTTTTCCATGTGAAAATGAACAAGTTAGGCAAGATTCTAGGTTCTGGATGTTGTGTTGGTATCTATTGGATAATTAATGTACCGGTAATTGAATGTTTGATGCTAGTGCTAAAATTCACGTGAGAAAAAACTCTAGTAGGTACTCAAATATTGATTGTTCCTAATACTTTTTTAATTATTTACCAATACATGAGCATTAGAACAAATAAATTAGTACATTATTTTAGGAGACACTAAGATTACCAGGGAACAGTGAAGTCTCATACTATTCATCAGGTAATTTGCCCTAATACTTTCATATTTTTATTCTTATTCTATACTTTTTACTCTCAATATACATTGTGCTTTTACTATATGTACCATACTTTACACTTGTTCTATACCTACTTTGTGTCAGTTTTGTGTTTAAGAAAATTGTCTGGAGATTTATGCCTTATAGACATCAGGTCCTTGCTCACTGAGGTTTAATCAACAATAATACAAAACAATAAAGTATATCTGTGTGAATTGCAACTGAGAAACCATTTGTTTCAGAGCGACGTATCACTGGCTGATGATGAGCTTCTGGACGATATATTGCAAGAAATGACTCCATCGTCTCTACCAAGACCGTGCCTTGCCAAGAAGCCTCGTCCATCCACATCTCCCAATAAATTTAAATTTCCTATAAATCCGTTTGCTTCCAAATCTGTCAGCTCTCCCGTGTCCAAAGCTTATGATTTTCCTGCATCTGAAGCAATAAATAACTCTGCTTGTAGGCCTCAATCTTCTGTCGGATCGCGGCCTGTCAGTTCTCCCAACTCAGTATCACTTAACGGCATGGCCTTTAAAAAAGATATTAAGAACAATCCTAATCATACCTCGAGCCCCGCAATTCGCTCTAACGTATTAGACACGACGCCTAAACGACCTCGGCCTGCGCTCAGAGAGAACGCTCCTATCAGCCCTCCTAAAGTTAGTTATTTTTATTATTTTATAAGTGAAACATATACTGAGGATATAAATATCGAACTAAATTTTCATTTTCAAATAAGGTTACTTGTGTAACTGAGAGTTGCTCTCACTACGATATGAATTTGTAATGAATATAACTCAAAAAGCTTCTAAGTTCCTGTTTCATCTTGACAAACGCCATGTATGTAATATCTACTGTGACGTGCTATCATGTCATAATATGTTCAGTGAAGTTTTCAAAGTGCCTATTCTATTATTATTTATTTATTATATTTTCTTATTATTTTATTTATTACTTATTTGCTTCATTATTTTAATCATTTTCGTTATTTTCATGACATGTTTTCTGTCTCATTCAAAGATAGTAAATGTAGACATTTATTTGCCTATGTCGCGTACTTGTTTCCTATTTACCAGTAATATCTTTTTTATTGATTCGTCGTGGTACCAATAGAACATCGTCTAGAACCTTCCTTCATTTTCTGTCATTGGAAAGAGGTTTATAGGAAATAGCAGAGTTGATTTTTGTTGTGGGATGCTTGCTGCTCAGATTTTGAGCTGAGTTACTTACTTAGGTAGCAAACTGCAAGTATTAATTCAAGTAAATTGTCTCTAAATCGCGAATGTAGCAGCCATTTTTAATGTGAACGTGCATTAATTATTTCCTTTCTTGCACAGGCTAAGCGGAGCCTGGTACCTGAGCATACGAAAGAAGAAACTGAAGATGATTTTGCTGATGTGGACTTGTCGGCACTTGATGATGACATGGTGAGTTGATGATGACATGGTGAGTTGACGATGACATGGTGAGTTGTCGGCACTTGATGATGACATGGTGAGTTGATGATGACATGGTGAGTTTCATAATATATGCCTTGAAGCAATAAGCTGCTTGATCATTTATGTTTATCTATTAATCCTATAAATTAGGATTAATAGATCTATTAGAGTTTATCTTAATAGAGTTTATCTATTAATCCTATAAATTAGGATTAATAGATAACTAATTATTACTACCTATTAATTAATTAAAAGTTTATAATATTAAAAGATACTTGTTTAATCTTAATTCACTGTAAAATAGCTCCTCCATTATGGTCCTGCACTTTTCTAAATTTCAAAGCACCCTGTTCAAATTTTTTAAAGCATCCTGTTAGGTAAAGTGTGAAGCATGTTTGATATTCATTTAATTCTTAATATGTGTAGCCAAAATTTTTTTAATGCACCGTGTTTGGTAAAGTGTGAAGCATATTTGATATTCACTTAATTCTTAATGTGTGTTGTCAAAATGTTTTTAAAGCACCGTGTTTTGTTAAGTGTGAAGCATGTTTGATATTAACTTAATTCTCAATATTTATAGAATGAGGAAGACTCCGTGGCAAACAAACCTGCCACTGCCACAACAGACGCCAACGCTGCCGTTGAGAAGCAAGAGTCTCTCCCCCACAACCGAGGGTTCTCAAACCGGCAAGTTCTTATGACGTTTTATGGAGGAAGCCGAAAAAATCAATTTAATGGAAAATTTTTTATACAGATAGAAAGATCTCGTTGAGATACATCTTCCCGAATATTTACATCTTGTCATGACACGTATGATAATTTTTTTTAAATTTACGTTTTTCCAAAGTTTAAATTTAATTTCTTTTAGATTACTGTTATTAATTAAAAGTAATTGTTAACTCTCATCACGGCAAGTTATTATGACGTTTTTTGGAGGTTTAAATTTACGTTTTTCCGAAGTTTATATATAATTTATTTTAGATTACTGTTATTAATTAAAAATAATTTCCAACTCTCATCACGGCAAGTTCTTACGACTTTTTCCGAAATTTATGTTTAATTGCTTTTAGATTACTGTTATTAATTTAAAATAATTTTTGACTCTCATCACGGCAAGTTCTTATGACGTTTTTGGAGGTTTAAATTTACGTTTTTCCGAAGTTTATATTTAATTTCTTTTAGATTACTGTTATTAATTGAAAATAATTTCCGACTCTCATCCCGGCAAGTTCTTACGACGTTTTTTGGAGGTTTATATATAATTTCTTTTAGATTACTTCTATTAATTAAAAATAATTTTTGACTCTAATCCTGGCAAGTTCTTATGACGTTTTTCCAAAGTTTATATTTAATTTCTTTTAGATTACTGTTATTAATTAAAAGTAATTGTCAACTCTCATCCCGGCAAGTTCTTATGAGGTTTTTTTAAGTTTATATTTAATTTGTTATAGATTACTGTTATTAATTGAGAATTATTTTTGGCATTTATGTTCAGTTTTTCTTATGACGTTTTTTTTGGAGGTTTAAATTGACGTTTTTCCGAAATTTATATTTGATTTCTTTTAGATTACTGTTATTAATTAAAAATAATTTCTAACTCTCACGGCAAGTTCTTATGACGTTTTTCCGAAGTTTATATTTAATTTCTTTTAGATTACCTACTGTTATTAATTAAAAATAATTTCCGAGGGTTCTCATCACGGCAAGTTCTTATGACGTTTTTTTGGATTTTTAAATTTAATTTCTTTTAGACTACTGTTATTAATTGAGAATTATTTCTGGCATTTATGTTCAGTAGGTAAATTTGGTTGAAATCGTTTCTAAAATTATTATTGACATGGAATTTTCATTATGAGGTTTACTCTTCTAAAGTGTCTGCAATTATTTGTCAGCTTCGATATTTAAGATTGACGTTTATCTGAATGCCAGAACTGAAAGAACTGTTGTTGATTTATATTAATTTAATTGGTTAGCTTCAATATTTAATATTGACATTCATCTAAAAGCCAGATATACCTGTTGTTATTGCTTTACATTCTTTTAAAAAATTTCAATTTAATATTGACATTCATCTAAAAAGCCAGAAATACATGTTGTTGTTTCTTTATATTGATTTAAAAAATTTCAATTTAATATTGACATTCATCTAAAAAGCCAGAAATACATGTTGTTATTGCTTTATATTGATTTAAAAAATTTCAATTTAATATTGACATTCATCTAAAAACCAGAAATTCCTTTTGTTGTTGCTTTATATTATTTAAAAAATTTTCAATTGTGCAGTGCAAGCGCCCAGCACAGCAGCGGCCTGGAGTCTCTGCAGTGGGAGAACGNTTAATGAAATTTAAGGTGAAGTGTGTAGTGTGTTCCTGTGTAGCTTTAGATTACATCAAAAGTTTAAAATCATGTTATTTCCCCATAATTTCTGCCCTTATAGACGATCTCATGCGGGCTTGACAATAATTATGAGTTCTCGTTTTTCGATGAAATTTTTTGTATCAGTTTGTTTTTATGGCATAGTAAATGTCTGCAAAATCGCAGAAATTGCAGGTTTACCTGAAGATTCTTGCAGGTGCTGCGCATGTACTGGTTGGACGCCTTCGAGGAGCCCTACCGCCAGGCAGGGACGGTCTTCCTGTTCGGGAAGGTGTGGCTGCCGCAGGGCAAACTGTATGTAAGCTGCTGCTGTGTCGTGCGCAACATCCAACGACGCGTCTACCTCCTGCCTCGACCTCAGGTCAGCTATGCGATAGCTCTTATCTCCTGCCTCGACCTCAGGTCAGCTCTCTGGTAGCTCTTATCTCCTGCCACGACCTCAGGTCAGCTCTCTGGTAGCTCTTATCTCCTGCCACGACCTCAGGTCAGCTCTCTGGTAGCTCTTATCTCCTGCCACGACCTCAGGTCAGCTCTCTGGTAACTCTTATCTCCTGCTACGACCGCAGGTCAGCTCTCTGATAGCTCTTCTGCCCGCTCCCCTAGTGTTGTTTGACTATAATATATCCATTAAACTCTACGGTTGCTGAACGTCTAATTCTGTCCGAAGTTTTTTTGCTGGCTAAGAAGATTGCTCTGGATTTGATTTCTCTTCTTAATTATGAGAAATTTAGTTTCGGATTAACTTTTTTTCATTTGAAAATGACCTCGCATTGGACTTTTTAAATTTAAGGTTTTCTTAATTTGTTAATTATTATTGGCATGGAGAGAATGTTTCCAGATTCGAGATAAAAATTAATACCTATGATGTCTTCCACTCTGCCGGCTCTGAACTTTTTCTTTTTCAGAACTCTTCCTTTTAACCTTAAGGTATTAAAGTTCAATTATTTTTGCCAGAAAAAGGTTGAGGGCAGCGAGGAGGGCGAAGATGTCACAATGAAGGATGTCTATGACGAGTTCAACTGCAGCGTCGCCAAGAAGTTTGGCATCAAGGAGTTCAGGAGCAGACCTGTCAAGAAGTCCTACGCGTTTGACAAGCTTGATGTACCTAATGAAGCAGAGTACCTCGAAGTGCGATACTCGGTGAGACTGGAGCATAGATACCATATCTCTGAGGTCATTTCTTAGCTGATAATGAAATCAGGATGTTATGAAGTGCGATACTCGGTGAGGCTGGAGCATAGATACCATATCTCTGAGGTCATTTCTTAGCTGATAATGAAATCTGGATGTTATGAAGTGCGATACTCGGTGAGGCTGGAGCATAGATACCATATCTCTGAGGTCATTTCTTAGCTGATAAGGAAATCTGGATGTTATGAAGTGCGATACTCGGTGAGACTGGAACATAGATACCATATCTATGAGGTCATTTCTTAGCTGATAAAGAAATCAGGATGTTGGTTTTACTGGTAATATGTCATCACTGGACTTCCTCACATTTAAATAGAATGGACTTTTATCATGCAAAAACTTATTTGTTCTCGTAGTTATTTAGTTTTAACAGAAAAATACAGAAGATTGGATATGCTAGAAATATTTTATCACTGGACTTTCTCAGATTTAAATAGAACAGACTTTTATCATGCATAAACTATTTGTTCTCGTAGTTATTTAGTTTTAATAGAAAAATACAGGAGGTTGGATATGCTAGAAATATTTTATCACTGGACTTTCTCAGATTTAAATAGAATGAGATTTTTTCATGCAAAAACTTATTTTTTCTCGTAGTTATTTAGTTTTAATAGAAAAATAATTTAGTTTGTANGTTGTAATGTACTTGATCCTTTTCATCATTTTAGTTAATTTGTAGTTGAGTATTAAAACCTATGACGGAATGTAGGTTTTGTACTGAATGTACATTTTATACGGAATGTATGAATATACTCTTATCTGTGTCATCATTTTAGTTAATTTGTAGCTGAGTACTAAAACCTGTGACGGAATGTAGATTTTGTACTGAATGTACATTTTGTACGGAATGTATGAATGTACTTTATGTGTCATCATTTTAGTCAATTTGTAGTTGAGTATTAAAACCTATGACAGAATGTACGTTTTGTACTGATTGTACATTTTGTACGGAATGTAATTACGTACTTTATCTGTGTCATCATTTCTAGTTGATTTGGAGCTGAGTACTATAACCTATGATGGAATGTGGTAGCTTGGTTGATGGACCCTAGTCCGACTAGAGTTTGGTTACTATCTTGTTAAAAGTTACGAATGTTTAAATCATAAGTCTTGTTTAGTGCCATCATGAGAGGAAGATTTCTGGCTTTAAACCTTAACTTCAGTAAAGTTTGTTGTTAATGTGTGACTATGTTTAAAGTTTACAATCATAAATATCGGTTTGAGTGGCGAGTGACGAGTGATTCGTTCCAATTAGTTAACAGAAGATAAGGATGATGATAGAGTTGATCTGTTTGCTCCATCATGACTCGATAATTAACAGTTATTCCACCGCAAGAAGTTAATCTTTATCTCGTGTGCAGGTTACCAATGCAAGAAGTAATTAATTATCTCGTGTGCAGGTTACCAATGCAAGAAGTAATTAATTATCTCGTGTGCAGGTTACCAATGCAAGAAGTAATTAATTATCTCGTGTGCAGGTTACCAATGCAAGAAGTAATTAATTATCTCGTGTGCAGGTTACCAATGCAAGAAGTAATT